ATATTATTCTCAAAGAAAGAAATATCAACTACACATATTTAATTGAGTAAACAGTTAGAATCTATTCATTTTAAAAAAAAGTTAGAATCTATTCATTTTAAAAAAAAGTTAGAATCTATAGTAATTTATTTGAACTTGTTCATACGATTGAATCATGTCAACGATAGTCTGTACCATACTTTATAGGGAATCTTTCAAAAATAACCCATAAATTCAAGTCAATTGCTAAACTACCCTCCCATTTTACCACTTTTGAAATTAACCACTTTATCTCACTTATATCCTTATCAGTTCTATTTATTTACGAAAATGCCATTAGATTATTGTTTTTTATTATTATTTCGGAAATCTATTTTACCAAACAATCCTCATCTTCCTCACTTATTCACGAAAATGCCATCACCATCACTTCATTCAACCACCATTTTCGACCAATTTGAAGCTTTTATTGCTTCAAAGACCCATTTTTTAGCTTTGTAACCTCATTTCCTCTTCTCTTAACCTTCTACTCTTCCATTTTTTCACCATTTTCAGCACAAAAACTCTCTAATCTAAATTTTTGAAACTTGATGTTTTAATATATTGCCATATTTGGTGATTTGGTCTAGCAAATCGTTTGGGCTTGTTTGGTGGTGGCTGGAATCAAAGAAATCGGTGGTTAAATAAGTTAAATACCACTCGGTAGGTGATTTTTCAGTCAATTTTCGTGAGTTTTCAGATCTGTGTCGGTAGTAGACTTCAAAAGAAGTCTGCTGGTCAACACACAGGTTAGTTTTGCAATTGACCGGGTGTACCAATTTCTGACAGTAGACTTCAGTTGAAGTCTGCGCCATTTCCTTTGATAACAAAAAAAATAGTGTAAACTTCAAAAAAAGTCTACGTAAAAAGGGGTTAGTTTTGCAATTGACCAACGTTTGACTTTTTCGTAAGAAGTCTACTCGCAAAAGTAGACTTCTTCGGAGAAGTCTACTTTGAAAGTAGACTTCTTAGAGGTTAGTTTTGCAATTGATCAATGTTGACTTTTTCGAGTAGACTTCGCTTGAAGTCTACTTTTCCGAGTAGACTTCGTTTGAAGTCTACTTTCTGAGTAGACTTCAAAAAAAGTCTACTCGAAAATAAATTCAATGTTTGGTCAACCCCAAAACTAACCCAAGTAGACTTCGTTTGAAGTCTACTTTTGAAGTAGACTTCAAACGAAGTCTACTTTAAAAAGTCAACATTGGTCAATTGCAAAACTAACCTCTAAGAAGTCTACTTTAAAAGTAGACTTCTTACGAAAAAGTCAAAGTTTGGTCAATTGCAAAACTAACTTTTTTTTACGTAGACTTCTCAAGTAAACTTCTCGGAGTGAGTAGACTTCTTTTTAAGAAGTCTACTCATCTTTTGGCAATTGCAAAAGTAACCTAAAATATAGACTTCATACGAAGTCTACATTTGTAGACTTCATTGCAAGTCTATTTTTGTAAACTTCGTTGTTAGTCTACTATTTCACTTTTTTTTATAAACATGTTTTTATCAAATTTACAACGAATTATTAAGATTTTTTTGGTTTTACGATTGTTTTAGTAAGTGTACTTACATTTGTATCAGTTTTACATGTTTATATTATATATATTTGGTGAAATCAAGTTTCTTGTTTTATTTGGTATTTAGCTTATTAGTCTGTAGACTTCGTTTGCAGTCTGCGACATTAATTTGTTTTTTAAATTAATTGATCAGATATTTGTAACAAATAAAATTTATTCTTTGACTCTTAAGTGTGTATTATTTATTGTTCTTACTTATGTAGGAGTTTGACATGTTTATTTGTTATAGTTTAGCTTTAATTAATTTTCTTGTTCTAATTGGTATTTAGCTTATTAGTCCGTAGACTTCACTTGAAGTCTACATAGTAGACTTCGTTTGCAGTCTGCAACATTAATTTTTTTTATAAATTTAATTGATCAGATATTTGTAACAAATAAAATTTATCATTTGACTCTTAAGTGTGTGATATTTATTGTTCTTGCTTATGTATGAGTTTGAATTTTTTTTTGTTACAGTTTAGCTTTAACTCATTTTCTTCTTTTATTTGGTATTTAGCTTAATAGTCTGCAGACTTCATTTGAAGTCTACATAGTAGACTACATTTGCAGTCTACTTTTTCGACAATGATTTCTAATGTGGTTTGAATTTTGTTTTCTTACAGAGAATGATTCACATACCCACTGTTTATTGAGAATGTGTGAAGAAAGACTAGTTGTGGTATTTCTAAGTAGTTTTACATGTTTTTTTTGTTATGAGTTTTACATGTTTTTGTATAGTTAAATTGAATTAATTTTCTTGTGTTATTAGAGGTTCAAAGATGGTGATGACTAAGTCTGACAAAGAAGTCTGCATATGAAATCTGAATATGATAAAACACACATAATTTAAGAATATATAAAAATAACATTAATTGCAATCCAATTTTACATATAAAGTAGACATTCTAATCAAACAAACATTTAAGGATCACTAATTATAAATCTTAAAATTAGCATATAAAAACAAAATGTTTGAAATAGATGTATGTGACTGAAGTCAGCTCGAGAAGTCTACTCGAGAAATCTGCAGCTGAAGTCTGCTTCCAACAAAAACAAAAGAGAAATAAATAAGCTCAGGTCTGCACAATAAGAAAAAAAAATGTTAAAATTCATATTTCAACAAAATCTGCTATATTTACAAACATCATATCTGCAGCAAAATGGAAAAAAAGAAATCAGCTATGCAACAAAAAAATTATAGATCTGCAACAAAATAAACAAAATTCAGATCTGCAACAAAATAAACAAAATCAGATCTGCAACAACTAAAAATTCAGATCTACAAAAAAAAAACCAGATCTGCAACAACAAAAAAATCAGATCTGCAACAAATTCTACAAAATTTATACCATAAGAAGCGCATATTTGCAAGAATAAACTCATATCTACAACAAAAAGCTCAAATATGTAATAATAAACTCAGATTTACAATATGAACACAAAACAAACAACAAAAGAAACACAAAACCTCAGATTTGCTTACCATCACCATAATTGAGATAGAGAGGATGGAGGATAGAGATGGGTTTGATGGCAAGAGAGGAAGGAGAAGAGATTCATAGCCAGAGAGGAGGTAGAGGAGAGAGAGGCGTTTTTTAGAGGGAGAGAAAAACTTTATTTTTAACCCAATTAGGTTAATCTCCTTATATATGTAGGAAAATTTTCGGTTAAGTAGACTTCTTGCATACGTATGTTTTCTGTAGTAGACTTCTTTAGTAGACTTCTAAGGGGTTATATGTTTTCTAGTTAATTTTCTTTCTGCATTTAAATTGATGCATTTGTATGAAATTTTGTATTCTATACATGCCAAATGTATATGTCTTACTTATGTTTACCAATTTCTTAAGACGTCTACTGGAGAAGTCTACTTCGGTATATTTTTTCGATTTCGATTCCCGCCTAATTTGTTCCGATTCCCGCCTAATTTGTTAAATAATTTTTGATTTCCCGCTATGTTTTTTTTAAGTCTACTGGAGAAGTCTACCCGAGAAGTCTACTGCATACGTATGTTTTCTGTAGTAGACTTCTTTAGTAGACTTCTAAGGGGTTATATGTTTTCTAGTTAATTTTCTTTTTGCATTTAAATTGATTCATTTGTATGAAATTTTGTATTATATACATGTCAAAATGTATATGTCTTACTTATGTTTACCAATTTTTTAAAAATTTATTTATTTTATATTTTCTAATTAATTTTTAAAAAACTAATTATGTAATAGACTTCTTTTGAAGTCTACATACAACGATTGTAGACTTCTTACGTAGACTTTTCGAATGATAAAATCGTAACTGTGACAGACGTTTTTTGTTTAGTCACAAAGGACTGAGCTGTAATTTCACCACCCCTTTGGGTTAGATTGCCAAACATTCAATAAGAGGTTTACATATTGAGAAAAAATCAACTTTTAGGTTATAAAGAGAAATTCCCCCTACTTTATATGATATAGATCATTTCTATTTTATTTTATATTATGATCCTTTCTAATTAAAAATTTGAAATAGTCTAAGAAAAAATATTAACAAAGAAATCATTTAGTCTAAAAAAAGAAAACTAATTAATAAGTAAAGAAATCATTGTAGCTAATTTCTACAATCTATTACTAATTCAGTTTTAAGAATTAGTGTATTAGTCTAATTTCTATATAAAATTTGAATTAGTATAATTGTTTTCAAAAAATTATCAATATAGAAATCATTAATTATATTAAAAAAATTGTTTAGAAATTATTGTACTTACCAAAATTGTAATTCAAAACCGTTCATAATACATAGTATTGGGAAAACAAATCTAGCACATACCTTTTATAACATATATCATTTCTATTTTATATACTAATATATATTCTAATTCTAAAACTGAACTAGTCTAAATTAGAAAAAATATTGAATTACTCTAAGATTTTATAAAAATTATTAATAACGATATTATTAAATTAAAAAGAAATTTAATTTAGAAATTGCTGTAATTTATCAAAAATGTAACTCAAAACAGTAATAATACATATTATTGGAAAGAAATCTGGCACATACCTGTAATGACATTTATCATTTTTGTTATTGTATATAATGATGTTTTTATGACATTATAATATAAAAAATCATGTATATTTATTTTAAATTTATTCAATAATTCAAATTTTATAAAATTGTTAAAAGAAAAGGCAAAATTAAGCTTGGAAATCTGTTTATATTATTCAAAATTATAACTTTCTTTCCATTTTTTTATTAACAGATTTCAAGTCACATTTAATCCATTTGCTTAACAATTGCTGTAAGAAATATGTGGATAGTGTTGTTACTCTTGTCTACTAATCTACATTTATGCATATATATAAATAAGAAAATGAAGTCATCAGTCCTTCCTTAATCCTCTTTTTGAAAAGCCATTAACGTCTAATCTTAAAGTAAGTTTCGTCTTTTTAACAGGTTTGACTAGTTTTTTTCCCCTTTCTTTCTTCTTCGTTTAAAGCTTTTTTAAAAAAAAATTGGCTTCCCACACTTGTTACGTCCTCTTCCTCTTCATCGGAGAAGGAGAGAGCTTTTGTTTCTGAAATGGATATGTGTTTGAATTTGTGTTGTAGGGCGTTTGTGCTGAGGATTGTTTCGAGAAATCAGATATGGTGTTCAACAAGATGCTCTTCTTCAGCTCAAAGAGATCCTCGAGATCTTCCGATAACTCTCCGAGCGGATCCGATAAGAAGAAATCGAAATCCAATTCCGAAGAGGAAATCCGAAGGCCTAATCAGAGCTTCGCTTCTAGCTTCGCCGGAGTTATATGTGGTTTAAAGGAGAAGAAGCATGGTTCGTCAAAGCGGAAAGAAACCTCGTCCGATCAAGCTCAATCTCCAATCCCTAGCCAATCGAACTCGTCAGCTTCCGTTTCCGAGGCGAAGGAACCAAATCCTGAAACCTCTGCCTCACTTCTGGATTTAAATCAAACCAAGACAAGATCTGAATCGGGAACTGGTATGCTCAAAAATCTCTTGATTGATCATGTTGTTGAACTGTATGATAGTTGTGACCTGTGAATATTTCATCGTCGGAACTTTTTCTTAGACTGAATCTGCTTGGTATTGTGGAACTGTTGTTTTCATGGCTTTCTCTCAAGTTTGAATTTTGATGTTATCTAAGGTCAATTCGATGCGTCAACTAGCGATTCTCGCCCTGTAGGAATCTCAGAATTTGGCATACCAGAGGTATTTACTTTCTCCTTACCATCATAAAAAAAAAAAAAAAAAAAACAGAGAGTTTGCGTTATGTATAGATATCAGTTCTCTAAGTGACATTGGTGACTCTTGATGCATATCTTTCCAGATTTCGTTTGGAGTGGAAACTCCAAAAGAGTCAGAATCCCCACACTTGCAAGCCTTGCTTCGCATCAGCAGTGCTCCACGAAAGTGGGATTCTAGATACGTAAAGAGCTTCTCGCATGAGCTCAATTCCAAAGGTGTACAGCCTTTCCCTCTATGGAAGCCTCGTAGGTCAGATAGGTCGGAGGTAACCTTGAGGCTTATTTGTCTTTTCGAGAAAGCAAAGGAAACAGTAAATTCAGATCTTTCCTTATTTGCTTTGGCCCTGGTGGATATGCTTAAGAAGGATTCGGGAAGTCTCCCCGAGTTTCAGGTAGCCATAGAAGATATGTTGGTTTTGATCAAGAGATGCGTCTCGTCTACTCCAAAAGACTTCTGCCTTGAGTGTCTAGAGATAGTTCAAGAGTTGGATGACAGACGCCGGGAGCTTCCCCCAGGAGTGCTCAAGCAGATTCACACTCGGATGCTCTATATCCTTACCAGATGTAGTAGATTACTGCAGTTTCAGAAGGAAAGTTGGGGGCACGAGGAAGAGGCCAGTCAATTACGTCAGTCAAGAGCCTTGGCTGTCTTGCTTTCTGCTGAAAAATTGCCCCCCATTGGAGAAGTTTGGGACATTTGGGGTTCATCTACCTTGAGGATACCATCCACCAAGAAAGCTTATAGTCAGGAGCAGTGTCGATTGAATTGGGAGGAAGACATTGTCTATCGTCCAGCAGCTCCCTCTCCTCATCCCTACAATGAAACCTCAGAGGCTTCTGAATTGTCTGCAAACACACTTCCATCTCCAGCGTCGAAGGGTGTAAAAGAAGCTGCGAAGGTGATTGAAAATGGTGATGATATCGCTGCTGCTAAGACGCCGGTCAGTCGTCCCGCAGAATCGTCTCATGAACAAGAAAAGTCCAACCATCGGCACAAAATAACCTGGGGTTCTTGGGGAGATGATGAGTCGTGTATCTCTGAGGAAAGTTTATTTATGTGTCGTATATGCGAGGGAGAAGTCCCCACCACCCACATGGAATATCACTCTCTAATCTGTGCAATGGTTGAGAAATGTGACCAAAGGGGTGTGAGTGTGGATGAGCGGCTGGTGGCAGTTTCTGTGACTCTTGGCAAAATAACAGAGATCTTGATGCAGAGGGCAACCCAAGCAGCGAGAGAAAGCCCAGATGGAATGAAAACGTCTAACGCCAGCTCCGGAGAATCTGACGTTCTCTCCCTAAGGCTAAGTGACTACTCAAAAAAAGGGTTGGAAGACATGTTTTCCTCTTTTCTGGAGTCTGATAGTTCAGCAGCATTCATGGATGATATGAGATACTTAACTTCAGTGTCATGCATAACTCGTTTTGGTCCCAAGTCTGATCAAGGCATGACTCCTATATCCCCTAAACCCAATCCAGTTGAATCGTTATTAGAAGGCAAGGGTACATTCAAGGGCTTGGATGTTTCACATGTATGTAATGGTTCTACTCTATGTTCATATCTTCTAGCTAGTCTTTTGATATTGAGTATGCTGACTGACGAGCAACACCCTGAACAGCTGTTTATGCAGATAACTGGGCTTGCTGACATTGCAAGATCCGCGGCAAATACCATTCCAGATGATGATCAGTCCCATCAGGTTTTACTTTCTTGTCTTGATAACTTGAAGGTTGTCGTAGACCGTAGAAAGTTTGATGGCCTTGTAGTTGAAACTTTTGAATCATGCATCGAAAAGTTAATACAGTGAGTTCCTGGGACTGCTTTTTTTTTTCTTAAATATATATTTTCCAGATCTCTCCCCGCGCTGTATTTGCTTGAAATGGAAGTATTCTGGGAACTATTCGCTTGTCCGTTGAGGCAAATATTGAAAGAATATTTTCCTTTTTTTTGTTGTAGAGAAAAGTATCTTCAGCTTTGCGAGCTTCAGGATGGTGGAAAGGTTAACCTATCAAGCACAGTAATTGATGAAGACGCTCTTTTAGAAGATGGCGTTGTTCCTAGCTTGAGGACCAGCCCAGTGCATGTACATCCGCGGCGCCGCATATCCATAAAGGATTTCGAGCCAGTTAAAAATATTAGTAGCGGAGCTTTCGGGCGAGTCTTTTTGGCTAGAAAGAGAACAACAGGAGACATATTTGCTATTAAGGTATTCTTAATTTCACTTCTTTTAACTTTTATTACTCTTGTGAAAGATTCTAGTGTATCTATACAGTTAAGCTGGCTTGGTTAGCAAAATCAGTCAAAACTAAATTTTCAAATCTTTTCTTGGATACTCTATAGGTTCTGAAGAAGGCAGATATGATCCGCAAGAATGCTGTTGAAAGGATAATTGCTGAACGAGATATTTTGATCAAAGCACGCAATCCCTTTGTGGTGAGATGCGCTAACTTTTAAAGCATATTTTTTCCTCTGCAGCAAAGATTCCCTTATATATAACATAACCTTCTTTTTTTTACCAGGTTAAATTCTTCTATTCTTTTACTTCTCGCGAGAACCTATATCTTGTGATGGAATACTTGAAGGGAGGGGATTTATTTTCCATGTTGGCAAAATTAGGTTGCTTGGATGAATCTATTGCCCGTGGATACATTGCGGAAGTAGTAAGTGTGTAATAGTAACAAGAGAGTTTTATTAAGCTGTTGTGACTCAATGTCGATTATTCCTTTGTCAGGTCCTTGCTTTGGAATATCTACACTCTGAGGGTGTTGTGCATCGTGATTTGAAACCTGACAATTTGTTGATTGCAAATGATGGTCATGTTAAGGTAATATCACCATTTGGGAACTTTATATTTAATTAGTATGCAGGCTTTCTGAGTGTTTAGTTATAGTCTTTTGTTATCTGAAAAGCTCATAAAACCCACAGTGCAACACAGAGAATTAGCTTCTGCGTTTATGAGATTGTAAATATAAGACATTCGTGCTTCCCTGTAGACCTTATGATACCTTTCTGTTTCGTCTGAGCAGTTGGCAGATTTTGGTCTCTCCAAAGTCGGTCTCATAGACAGCACAATTGATCTCTCTGGTCCAGTTATCAGTGGAACGCCTCTGCTTGTTGAGGAGAAACCAATATCGCCAACATCAGAGAATCAGCAGCCTGAAAGGCAAGTTAAGCGGTCTGCGGTGGGCACTCCTGATTACTTGGCGCCAGAAATTCTTCTGGGGACAGAACATGGTGCATACACACTTCCTTCTAATTTTTTGTTGTCTGCTTGTCTCTATTATTCCAAATCTTTCTTCTGGGTAGAAATTGGTGCAGGGCTGAGATTAAGATGAATGATTGTTTATCTGAATAACAAAATGTGTGGTATATCAAGTTGATTACAGCTCGACTTATCTCTGGGGCTGTAAGTAGAAAGCTTGGATATATATAGCGTATTCGCTAAGTTAGGCCACTCAGATTCATACCAAACTGCTTCTGTGCTGCCTGTCTAACAATAGTTTCAGATATTCAATTCTATTTATCACATACCAAATAAAAATCGATATGCTTCTGTAAATGTTTCAGGCGCAACTTCGGATTGGTGGTCTGTTGGCATCATTTTGTTTGAATTCATTGTGGGGACTCCACCCTTTCATGGTTGTAATCCTGAGGTCAGTGACTAGATCTTGCATCGTTCTTGTAAACTGTTTTGATAGAAAAAAAAGTAAAGGTTTTCAAGGTTCTAGAAAACTGACGTTCTAACTTTGGTATCTATCATATTCACTTTAACATCTTCGTATGTTGCGACCGAGTATTCTATATCTAGCTTCACTTTAACTCCCTGAAATCTGATATGCATCTTCTTTGTTGGTTTTAGAACATATTTGACAATATTCTCAACAGTAATATACCATGGCCCAGCGTTCCAGAGGACATGAGCCATGAAGCCTGTGATTTAATAGATCGGTAAGTGGTTTTTTTCTCTCTGTCCAGTCATAAGCTTAATGAAAATAGTCCTTTGTTGTCAGCTCTGTTGTAAACATCAATATGACTACATGTGTGTCCCCATAAGGGTGTAATTGAATGCCCATTTTGATCATGCTTGGTGCAAGAGTATTATTGTCTGTAACATTGTGTCATGTGCTTTATCCAGTTTATTAAAGAAAGATCCTCATCAGAGACTTGGAGCTAGAGGGGCGGCTGAGGTGACATTGATCTTCTTTTACTTTGAATGACTGATTCTTAACTTTTTTGTAAAGTGTTGTATATTGATGAAACAAAATGTCATGACACAGGTCAAGCAGCACATCTTCTTTAAAGACATAGACTGGGACACTCTACCAGAGAAGAAGGTTATTTCATTTCTCTTTTTGCTTTTAAAGTCATGCGTAAGCTTTCCGTTTGAGCAACAATAACAAAAAGTCATAAGCTTTGCGTTTTTTTTTTGTAGCCTGCATTTGTGCCGGATTCAAAAGATGCTTTCGACACAAGTTACTTTGTGGGTAACGTTTCGAATGAGCAATTTTCTCCAACCAATGAAAATTCAAGTGGTTGCTTGAGCAATGATCATAACGATGGGGTAATATCTTTTGTTTCTCTCTGTTTCCTCCTTAGAAATATTGGCTTTTTTCTAAATTTAGAAGTGTAATGTCCCCTGAATTTGGATCAATGATGGTGTGCAGGTTGATGAACGTGGCGAACCTGCGGAGATGGAAACTAATGCGTCTGAAAATAACCCGTTCGATAATTTCTCGTTCAAGGTATTGTATGCTTTCCTCCTAATGTATCCCTTGTCATCCAAGTGTATGATTCATCATAGTCATATAGAGCTGTAGAAGTTCGCTTTGCAAGTTTCAGTTTTCAGGATTGATGATATCTATACATTGGTTTGTTAGCTTTATCGACTTGCAGAATCCTTCTACTATATAGATTGGTAGTTTATGAACTTGTTTGCTCTACTTCCACCCATTTCAAGTCACGAACTGGCTTGTTTTTGAATGATTTGTGTAGTTGAGGTTTAACCATTTGAAGTAATGTGCTTATGAGAGATTCAGTTATATATATATATAGCATTCTGACTTTTGCTCTTTTTACGGTATGAAGAACCTCTCGCAGCTTGCACATATCAACTATGCTTTGATGTCCAGAGGTCTGAAAGCTGGAGTCCAACCATGTTTGCAACTAAAAGAACAAACAAATTAATGTACATGTAAGTCATTCACTAATTAAATTTGTGGTATTGGGTTTTGTTTTGAGTTTCGACTGTTTCTGATGCATTGATGTTTACATATTTGCAGAGACAAGAGGAAGAAAAAGAAAGGAAAAGCAAAAGGGGGGAGGAAACTGATATTGAAACATTATTTGGACGCATAACGCAGCCGCAGATATGCGGTTATTAGTGTTTTGCGGTCTGTAGTGTGATTTGATATTTGTTTTGGATTTGTGGTTAAAAGAACATGGTTTCATTTATGCTTTAGCGTTCCACCTTCATAGAGAGGTTGTGAAATGCTGCATCTAAGTAAATTATGTTAATAATAATCATCTTTCATGTATACTGTCTTCTTTCCAAATCTGTTTCATAGATTCTGAAATGAGAGATTCCATTTTCAATGCCCATAAATGAATTTAAGGCACTATTATCATCACTTGTGAACGAAAGCACGAATCGATTAAAACTTAAAAGCAGCTAAGAAATGATGATTCTGCTGATACGTTATGTTATATGCTGGAAAACAACTGTTGGATTTGGCTTTAACATCAGTTCCGGCCCACATTAAGCCCATTCTAAATTGATGTTAAGCTGAGAGTGGAGCCCAAATCTATTAAGTAGTCCATCCGTGGTGCTCAAACGACGAAATCAGCATAGGTACTTACCGAAGCAATAGTGATATTTCGTCTAGTGAAGTAAAAGTTAAAACACGTGAGATCGAGATAAAAGCTCACGAGAAGATTATAAAAGAACAAACAAAGATTATGGAACTGACAACTTTTTCGACGTAGCCACTTGTGTTACGCTCTTCAAGCTCTCGCTATTACTCACATTTCTTTCGAGATTTTTTTTTTTTTTTTTTTTGTATTTCTGATATATCAATGAAATCCTCCAATTCATCGATTCTAGTCTCATTTATAATTATATCTTACGAGAATATAATCCTCATATCAAATCATGTTTCATCTCTTACAAAAACTTAGGTGTAGATTTTAGCATCCATATGATATGATTAGGCTTTTATTAACTCATTTTTAGGCTGCACATAGAATAGAATCATCACTCTCTCAATGTATTTTTCTCTTTCTCTCTCTCTCTAAAAAAAGCATCAAACTCAGAAACCATCTCGCTTCTTTATGGTCCCTCCCTATCATGTGCATGAATAACTTTGGGACCTCTCTAAAAGAGTCATACAATTATAGCAGCCTTCGTACTGTTGCAGTTGCACCCATTCTCTGCCTATTTAAACCTTATGCATTAATTGCTTAACTCATAAAGCTGTCAATGTTTGGTAGCCAAAAATCATACTATATAGTGGGTTTGTAGAAAGAAAAAAACCAATTATTTAAAATGGGTTGGGTTCACTTTTCATCAACCAAAATATTAAAGAGTTTGTCTACATCTCAATAATATGAAATTAGGTATTCATTCATTCATTTTCATTTTATAGCTGTCACTCCATGGGAACTAAATTAGATGTGGGTCATGTGTGATAGCAACACATATTGGTATATTGACATGTTGACAAAACAAATCCATTGGGATGATAATATGATTACATTTACATATAATAAATTTCATTCACCAAAATGAGCAAAACAAGCCAAAACAGATGGAACTACAACAAAATATAAGAAATTTTGAACGATGATTTAAAATAGTATATATAACTGTCAAAATGAAATGGAAATTTTCTTTTTCAAAAATCAGATGATCGCATTTGCACAAAGCTACAAACCTATCAAACACATCAAATTCGCAAGGAACAAAAAAGGCTTTCCACAAATGGCCAACCGAATCACGACCATCAAAATATTTGTATTCTTACAAGTAAATTGTATTTGTTCGACAAACTGGGCTCACTTTGTTTCATAAACAGTGACCAACATGCGTTTGCCACTACAAATATTATTATTATGCTACAAAGTATATATACAACATAAGAGACAAAAGGATAGGAAATAAAAAAAGAAATTAAATAGATTAAAATGATTAAAAAAAGAGAAGCAACAATAATTACAATCACCACTAAATCCTCTCACGCCCAACACAAACAAACAACTGCAAATGCGAAGCAGAGTTTCACCACTAAAACCCCCCTCTCCTTTTGACAAGTGGGGTCAAAATTAAAAATTTAAAGAACTCATTTTTTCTGATTTTCCCCCACCCAATTACTTAAAAAATTAATAATTAAAAATCCAACAATTAATAATTTAACATCTTTTTTTCACTCAATCAATCAGCTTCGTCCACTTGGTCAGGACCAGATCGTCTCAAATTCTCAATCTTCCTAACCACTTCCGCCATCTCCGGCCTCTTGTCCGGATGCTGTGACGTACACTCAATCCCTAGCTGCACCATCTCCGCCATCATCTCTTCTTCCTCCGTCGCCAAGCTAAGCAGCTCCGAGTCGAATACCTCTCTTCTCCACTCATCTCTCACCACCGATTTAACCCACCTCGGCAAATCAACTCCTTCCTCGTTCATCACAGAATTCGACGGAGCTTTTCCGGTGATCAGCTCAAGAAGCACCACGCCGAAGCTGTACACGTCACCCTTCGGCGACACGCGTTTAGGGTCGGTTACTTCCGGCGCACGGTAACCCGTAGCACGGTTCGGAGTTGATGAAGAGACTGCAACGAGCTGGGATAACCCAAAGTCCGAGACTTTGGCGTCGTGTGATTTGGTTAAGAGGATGTTCGAGGATTTGACGTTTCCGTGAGAGGTCGTGTTGCCTTGTGAGTGAAGGTAGTCTAAGCCACGAGCTGCACCAAGAGCGATCCGTGATCTTACATTACAGCTTAGTGGAGTCCTTCCTGCTCCTCTGTTTCCTGTAAATTAGACACACACACAAAACAGAGCAATGTCTTAGAGCTATAATTGTTCAGAGTACACAATCATATAGCTTTCCACTATAGTTTTCTTTAGCTACTCAACAACATTGTCCCCACCAATCTATACAAAGTTCAATTGAGAATCAAGATCATATTGAATAAACATAATGTGGATAAACAAAGACACCATTAAAGAAATGATTTTTCACAATGTAAATCACAAGTTTTGATATATAAACTCACCATGTAAGAGAGCAGATAAGCTTCCCATAGGCATGAAGTCATAGACAAGAAGCTTCTCGTCTCTGCTAAAGTAGTAAGCTCTCAACGGCACCAAGTTCTCATGATCCATAGCACCAACCAACTCAATCTTCTCCCTGAAGTCTTTATCAGGCATCATCACATCCTTCAGCCTCTTCACCGCCACAACCGTAACGGCGTCAAGCACCGCCTTATACGCCGTCCCAAACGTTCCTTTCCCGAGAACCTCCGCGGAAGCTCTCAGCAAATCCTCAAGATCGAAGACTTTAGTCGCGTTACCGAAGAACACGAGCTTCTTCGTCGCCGGACCGTTCGCTTCTCCGGATTTTGCGTTACCGGTCATCGCCGCGGCTGCAGCGGCAGTCACCGAGTACCCGTTTCCGTTCTCAGCCGTCTCCCCAGCCGCTTTATCGCCGTGAATTTCGGCTTCTTGCTGTTTGATTGTGGAACTATCGACGGCTCTTGATCTCTCGCTTCCCTTTTTCCGGCAGAGTACCATCAGTATCAGAACGATCAAAGCGAAACCAACCACGCATCCGATCGCAATTCCGGCTATAGCTCCGCCGGAAAGTTTATTTTTCTTCTTCCCATTGGCCTCTTCAACAGTTGGTGGTGTTCTGTTTCCGCCGGAAGTAGGCTGACTCGGTACAGTTTCTTCATTAGGGCAGATTTTGAGAGGTTTGCCGCAGAGTGAAGTTTGCAGAAACGAATCGGACTCGAATTTCTGGAGATTTTTAGGGATTGATCCGTTCAACGAGTTATTGGAGACGTTGAACTGAACCAATGGTAGATCTAGGTCAGGGATTGAGCCGGAGAGTTGATTATCCTCCAGGTACAGTGTCTTCAGCCTTGTGAGGTTCGTAAAGCCTGAGGAGATTTCTCCGGTAAAACTGTTCTCAGCGAGATTAAGCCTCACGAGGTTACTGAGACTGAATAAAACCTCCGGAATCTCGCCGGAGAATCCGTTTCCCTGCAAGTAGAGGTGCCGGAGACCGGAGCAGCTACTGAGATCCAAAGGGAGAGATCCGGTGAGAGCGTTGAGACGGAGGCTGAGTGTACGGAGCTGGGTTAAGTTACTAAAAACACCTTCCGGAATCTTCCCGGTGAGAGAAACGCCGGGGAGACGGAGGACGGTGACTCGGTTGTTCTCGCATTTAACACCGGCCCAGCTGCACGGCGAGGTCTGCCTGATGTCCCAGCGAAATGTACGGCCGCCGACGGCGGAACGGAGGGATAAAAGTGCGGCTCTGTCGGCGTTGAGATCTTGGATTGAAGGGAGAGGGAGGGAGAAGAGAAGGATTGAGAAGAAAACAGAGAGAATCGCCATGGACGAGTGGGGGAAAACTCGCATTGTGACGATTCAGAGAAAAACTGAAGAAGAAGAAGAAGAAGAAGAAGAAGAAGAAGGAGAGAGAAACCCTAAAGAAAAAAATAAAGCTTTGTGAGCAGAGCTGTGATTATAGAGAAAGGAGTGAAAGCAGTCAACAGCCTAATCCTCTTCTTTCCTCTTTTCCCATGTGTTTTCTTCTCCTCTGGTTTTTTTAGGTATTTATTTATGTGAGTAGTTATTTGTGTCCGTAATTGGAATTAAAATATAGTTTGAAAGTATTAAAGAAACAGAATAAATTAAGGTCTAGAATTCTAAATCCTCAAATTAGCATCCGTCTAAGATTTATTCTTCGATAATTTAGTATCCTCCTCGTTCAAAGTATTCTAATTAATGCATATTTCACTGACATAATTCTAAATTATGGAGTTTAAAACCGAAGTTAGTATTTTTATACTATGTAAAAACAAAATGGTGGGTATAGAGTTGGTAGGACCGTAGCATGTTATAAGATCACAATCACATTTGATTCCATTAATGTTTTGAAATAAAAATATACTTTTGTGTCTGCCTCCACTCTGTAATTACGATCTTATAGGACCTTCTTTCGTTTTTTTTAGTATCTAAGAAATTCTCAACATTGGCCTATATGTTTATCTCCAAGGTCCGGGACCATGTGTTAGATTTGTAATCTAATTTTAAAGTGTACTAGATTTTGGATCCGCGCACTTGCGCATATTTCTTTTTATAAAATATTTTTGGGTCATAGCAAAAATTGGTTAATAGGAAACTTTTGTTCAAAAAAATAGCTTATATTATTAAATCTAAAATTGTAGTCCAAACGGATTTTTTTATTAGATTATATAACATTATGGTTTTATGTTCTTAAAATTATTTAGGCTTGATTTTATAAAAAAAATTTGATTAGCGGACTTTTTGTTAAGTTTTATAACAAATATTTTAAAATATTATATTTTATAATGCAACAGAGATTTTATTTGTTTGTAATTAAGATTCTTAGGTTTTGTTTGTTTTGCCTTCAGATACTTATTTGGATGCAAATGCTCTCAAATATTATTCTTTTAATTTTTTTTTAAATCAGTATATGGATATTTTATCTGAATATAAATTCTATAATATCTCAAAATTTGGATATTTAAAATGCTAAAAAATAGAGATTTGATACATCATTTGAATCTCAAAAATTAACAGATAAAAACATCTTTTAATTTAAACAACAAAATCAAGTTTTTTTTGTCAAAACCATTTTTTTCTATCGAAATAAAAAGCCACAAAATTGTAAAATCACGTTGTTGTACCAAAACCGAAAATTCCGGTAGAAACTGTAAAAATAGCATTTTCCATCAAACCGTATTTTCCTGCCAAAACTGTAAACTCACATTTTTTAACAAAACTAAAAATTATGTTTTCCCCCAATACCATAAAATTGTATTCTATGTCTAAATTTGTAAAATTAAGTAGTTTTTGTCAAACCTACAAAATTGCATTTTGTCGTCAAACCTGCAAACCTGCATTTTCAATAAAATCCATAAAACTATATTTTTCCATCAAAACTTATAAAACCCGCAAAAACATGTAAACCTCGTAAAATCCGCAAAGTCACGTTTCCCGCCAAATCCACATGTTTTTCCATAATATTGTAAAATTCATAAAATTGTGTTTTACAACCAAATTTCTAAACTCATGTGTTTCTGCCAAACTCACAAACCCGCATTTTCCTGTATAACTACATTTTCTCGCTAAAACCTGTAAAATCCATAAAATCCGCAAAATTGCGTTATTCGTATTTCGCAAACTCGTGTTTTCTCATAAACTCCGTAAAATCTGTAAAATCGTTATTTATGACCAAATTTCAAAAATTATGTGTTTTTGCTAAATCTACAAAAACACATTTGTTGTCAAACCCACATTTTTCAGAAAACTATATTTTCCGTTAAAATTTATAAAACCCGCTAAAATTTGTAAAATCCATAAAATTTACAAAATTGTGTTTGTCAAATCCGCAAACCCATAATATTCTGCAAAAAATTATTAACAAACCAGAAAAACTAAATTATTTACATAATTTTTTTTTCATAGTATGTATATATGTAACCAAAAAATAATGATTATATTCATCATTGACTATGAATTGACATATTTAGTAAATACCATAATAATTTTTAGACATTCTAAAGTGTGCTTTTTTCTTTTAATACTATAGAGAAGAAATTGATTATAATATAATATATATTTAATTTATCATATAATATATATAATTTTATTAGTTATTCATGCGATATATATATGGTAGTTATATTAAGATATTATGAAAGATTTTAAAATAATTTTAAAATTAAATTAATTTGAATTTTATTAATATCAGATATAATTTATTGGTATTATATATTAACAATCTAATATAATTTAATTTAATTTAATGTATTTGTTAACAGTTTAGTGATAAGACTAAATTAACCTTAATGAATCTATATAAATTTAATGGCATATATTGTAAATAACACAGTAACTAAAGGTTAATTTAAAATAATGATTCTCTTTTAATAGTATTGATATTTAAATTCATGAATTTAAATTTGACATTTTCTTCAAATACCATAAATTGCATTCATCTAGTTACTACATAGTTTTCTAAAGTAACTATGATTGTCCTCTAATAAATTTTAGATGAACACTACAAGAAATCAGCTTAGCTTCTGAGCAAAGTGTTGATAAGAAATAAATGTGATTGTTTATTGACTAAATTCCGACCATTATATGGATTTGATCAAACTATGTTCTAACCAAAAAGTATTGATAGAAAATAACTTTAACTAATAGTGATGAATTTTTGATAAAAGTATGAACTTGGTCACAAATTAGTCGATAATCTTTAATGAATGGTGTTCATCAGAATTTGGAAGAAAACTTTTTCAACATTTTCTGTCAAACAATAATAACTGCTCTAACAAAAATATTAGTTGGAAATCAACTAAAAGTTTTCTACCATCTTTTAACTATTTTTGAAATATTCAACTAAACTTTTGACCAATTTATGACCAAATTTAATTAATTTCATATTTTTATAATTATTATATAACTGATAATGAAAACTTCACAAATATTAACTACAAAATGGTTATTAGTATATAGAAAAATAATATATTAATATATAAACGAATAAGTTGAACACATCATAATGATATCATCATAGTTGCATAATGCAAACACAAATTTATTCTGATTCAGATGAAGATGAATATTTTTATGATGTTGAATCCTAAGGTTTTTCAAATTCTCGAATCTCTTCTTCCGAATCTTCTATCATATCGTCTGCTGCTAATGTATATAAATCAACCAAAGATATATTCTGTAGAATGATCAGCCAAATTTTGGAAACAGAATTATGTTTGTTGCAATTGATCATTTAGTATGATTCCAAAAATTCGTCCTCAAAGGATTATTTGAGTAAGTGTGATTCAAAAATTTTGTTTTTGCGTAACATGAAGATAATATATATAGCATACTTGATCAGCTTGTAATGCTAGAATAAAAAGATCTCTTTAACCTGAATGAACTGATGTTACACTTAGAAGTTCTTATATTTTTTGCGTAAGTACATTTTTTTTAGAAATGTTATAAGAAAAGAAATTCTCATATATATTAATCCATGACTACTTTTCAAGTGTAATGCATCTATCAAAGCGGTGGTTAATTATATGCAGAACGGTGCCTAGGAATTTTAATGCCGTAGGCATAAATTTTTTTTTTTTTATATTATAAAAAATATCAAAAAGTTAATCAAATAAGTTGCTAATAATTTAACTATAACGTGATTAATATACAAAATTTTACAAAAAACTATTCTCATGTATTTCTGACATTGTTAAATGAACAATAATAAATATAACAGGTAAAAAAGAAATTAGTAAATGAAATAGAAAAGAAAAAAAATCATATAGTGAAAGAAAATGAAAAAATAAAATTAGTGTGGAAGAAAATTAGTATTGTGAATTATTATTATTTTAATAAAAAAATATATTGAATAACCTTGTAATATTAGTGGAAAGTAAGTTAAAAGAAGATAAACCTGAGAATAACACAAGCATTTTTATACTAATGATTTAATGAACCACAAAAGTAAAATATTTATAAATATATGCCTCTTTCAGTTCTATATCAAATTGTGATGCCGTAGCCTGTAGGCGGTGGCTTCTTTTTTTGTTCATATATATGCACGACTCTGGTTATATGATACGAAATGTAGTAGATAACATGTTTATATCGATCTTTTGTCGATGACTATCATGACATGACGACGTACTGTAATATTTACACGGTTCAAAATCATTAGTAACGTTTATATTTCCTGTAATTCTGTGGTAGAGATTTGCTATTTTTTATTATGAAGAAGTGTGGTGGTAAGAAAAAACAATTTCATTTAAAGTTTATGGTTATGTGTCACATTTTCCTAGCTTTAAAGTATTTGGCAAAGGAATAGTTTTATTTCGTTGCAATGGGTGAATTAGGTTAGATTATAAATTTAACATACAACAAGAAAAAGAAGTCGTAACGTGGAGCGATACATGGTTGGCCGTTACACGAAAGGAAAAGCCAACTACAATTAATATCTACATTTTATTTTCATGTGTTTGCACTCCTTTTCTCACCAAAAACCATTAGTTATTTATTTATTATAACTTTCATATTCTCGTGAAAGACCAAAGAAAAAACGAACTGATTATTCTTTATTCGTCGTAGAGAATTTTTGTTAGATAGTTTCGAGAATTTTAATTCGATTTTTGTCTTGTAAAAGATCAAATATTTAATGACATATTTAGTAGTTTTTATTGAAAATGTCTACGATCGATGAAGACAATGCCGGCTTATAAATAATCAAATATGTGTGTATATATATGTATATGTTTGTACGTATGTATATTGTAGATAGGTACACCGTATATCATATACGCGTGCAAGTGGACCAATCAAGAAGTTTATTTAGTTCTATTTTTTACATGAATTACGTGAACGTATGTATTGACGTTACCTGCCCACAAGATACGTCCATTGTTTCTTAATTCGATATCTCTAACTCTAATAGCAAGTATAATCTATATACATGATTAAGTGAATAATATTATATCGTACTAGGCTACTTTGAAAGAATCAGCCATATCTATAACGCAGTTAAACATTACGGAGTCAAATTATCAATGGACGAAAAGTAACCATGAAATTTTCTTCTGGAATAGTTATATATAA